ATTTGGATGTCCTGCTTACTATCATGTTAGAGAGGGTAAGCTTGAGCCTAGAGCTAAGAAATGCATATTTATTGGGTATGCTGATGGCATTAAAGGCTATCGTTTGTGGAGTCTTGAACCTGATTCTCCTAAATTTATTATTAGTAGAGATGTTACTTTTAATCAAAGATATATGCTTGATCGTGGGAAGGTTTCTATTGAGTCTACAGAAAATATAGAGAAGACCATGGATAAGGTGGAGCTTCAGGTGGAGCTCGAGGGAGAGATGTCTTAAAAGTCGTATATAAAATTTGCTCCTACAGCTGTAGAAGAACAACATGATTCAGGCTCAGATGCTGATGATGCTGAGACTGAAGAACCTTATTCCATAGCCACTGGCAGAGAGAGGAGACGGATCAAACCTCCTCAAAGATATGCACATGCTGAATTAGTGGCGTATGCTCTCACGACAGCTGAAGAGATGAGTATTCAAGAGCCATCAAACTTTACTGAAGCTGTCTCATGCGGAGAATCTGGACGTTGGGCCACAGCTATGACAGAAGAACTCGAGTCACTCTACAAGAATCAGACTTGGGATTTAGTGCAATTACCTAAGGGTAAAAGGGCAATTGGATGCAAGTGGATTTTCAAGAAGAAAGAAGGGATCCCAGGGGTTGAAGATGCTAGATTCAAAGCACGGTTGATGGCTAAGGGTTATAGACAAAAGGAGGGAATTGACTATGATGAAGTGTTCTCTCCGGTTGTGAAGCATACCTCCATCCGTGTATTGCTTGCCATGGTTGCTCTATTTGATCTGGAGCTTGAGCAGCTTGATGTGAAGACTGCATTTTTGCATGGCGAACTTGAGGAGACTATCTATATGTCTCAGCCAGAGGGATACTTCATAGAAGGTAAAGAAGATCAAGTTTGCAGATTGAAGAAATCTTTGTACGACCTGAAGCAATCTCCCAGACAGTGGTACAAGAGGTTTGATAATTTTATGCTTAGTCATGGGTACTCAAGAAGTACTTATGATAGTTGTGTGTACTACATGCATCTAGGAGATGATTCTTTTATTTATTTTCTATTATATGTCGATGACATGCTTATTGCTGCTAAGAACATGTCACAGATTCTTATTTTGAATAAACAACTCAATGATGAGTTTGAGATGAAAGATCTTGGTGCAGCAAAGAAGATCTTAGGTATGGAGATCAGGAGGGACAGAAAAACTGGAACATTATATCTCTCACAGAAGAGCTATATTGAAAAGGTACTTGAACGCTTTGGGATGAAGAAGGCCAAGCCTGTTTCGACTCCTTTGGCTCCTCACTTTAGACTCTCGGCTTCAGATTCACCTACAAGTGAGAATGAGAAGGAGATGTCCTGAGTTCCATACTCTAATGCAGTGGGTAGCATTATGTATGCTATGATTTGCACTCGTCCAGACATTGCCCAGGCAGTCAGTGTAGTGAGCAGATACATGGCTCAACCAGGGAAGGCACATTGGGAAGCAGCGAAGTGGATCCTACGGTATCTCAGGGGTACCTCAGATTTAGGTTTAGTTTTTGATAGCAGTACTTTGGGAACCTCAGTTGTAGGTTTTGTGGATTCTGACTATGCAGGTGATCTCGATAAAAGGAGATCTTTGACTGGTTATTTTTTTACTCTTTCTGGCTCAGCTATTAGTTGGAGATCGACTCTACAGTCGACAGTTGCTTTGTCTACTACAGAGGCAGAATATATGGCAGCAGCAGAAGCGGTAAAAGAGGCTATTTGGTTGAGAAATCTCGTGAGTGAGCTTGGACTACAGCAGGAGGCTAGTTCAGCTATATTTTGCGACAATCAGAGCGCAATACATCTAAGCAAAAACTCAGCACATCATGAGAGGACAAAACATATTGATGTCAGATATCATTTCATTCGTGAGGCAACTACTGAAAGAAATATCACGATGAAGAAGATTGGTACTGCAGACAATCCAGCTGACATGTTAACCAAACCCATCCCGACCTTCAAGTTCAAGCACTGCTTGAATTTGGGAGGTATTCGTACTTGTTAAGTGGCCCCTTTTGGGGCATTGTTTGTAAGATGGGTGGAGACTCACTAGTTATTAGTGTCGGCTCAGTTTTGAAAAAACTTCACCGAGGTGGAGATTGTTAGTCAACAATTGAGGCTGGCACTTTCGGTGGCCTCCGTTGTTGACATCAAGAGAGAGGGGAGAGGTTGTCTCTTTCGTTGAGGCTAGCCAAAATTGTTGACAAGTGTCAGAGCACTCTTGTTGACATTGGGGAGCTAGAGCCGCAATTACGGCTGATGAGGGAGACGGGGAGCCTGTCGTTGTTGACAAATTGAAGGGATTGAAGCCTATAAAAGCCCCCCTCTCTTCCTCGGTTGAATGCACTCAAAAACTCTAAGAAATCCAGCAGAGAGTGATTGAGAGAAAAAGAGAGAGAAAGCCACACAACGAAATCTGTGAGCTCTCAATATTTTGTATGAGTGTTGTATGTTGAGATTGAATATAGTGATACACCCTCTTGCCGTGGACGTAGATTAATTTGATCGAACCACGTAAATATTGTGTTTGTGAGTGTCTCTCTATTCTCTGGTTTAGTGGGTAATTTCCCCAACATCCAACAATTTTCACCCAGGGTATGGAGATCAATGACTTTTGGTTCTAACGTGCATAGTGATGCAAAACAGTTGGTTTCCTTTCTGTTTAATTGTAGATCAGTTTCCTCTATTCAATAATGGCATGATTGATTTTGAGTCATGTTTCAAAAATAAGATGTTTTCTTGGAAAATTTCTTTATTGTTATTACTACTACTACTACTACTATGTTGCATTTGTTTGAAGACGACTTTCCACCAAAGATGATCGTTCTAAAACCTCTATGTGATACCTGGCACAGTACGTAGATTCTGCTATGGTTAAATAGAGGAGATTAAAATACAGCACGTGCATTCTTAGTAAGAACTGGATCAAGGGAAAAAAAAGATCCATGGAAGTGACCAAATACTTCAGATGAAGCTTTTCCTGTCTTTGATGGATTTCTGAAATATGCAATTTGGTCACAATAAATTTTCTTTTGTTCTCTGAATATGCATCTAGGAGTAACCCTGAATGAGAATACCATATTATGCTCGAAGAATTAGTTTCCGTGTAACTGTACTCTACTAAGAATTCTCTAATTATGTTGCCCTTAAATATATTCATCTGATTGCCTATGCTATCACATCCCAAACAGACCTAAATTATTAATGATACTACATCTATGCCGATGAAACCATACATGTATCACATAGATGTGTAAACCTGGAGACAGAAAATAACCGTTTTAGCATGGAACAGGGTTTGATAGCCCCTGCCAACCCTCTTGTACCCTGGATAATTCTAGCAAGGATCATAGTCCTCCATCATTAAGGAAGGAATATTAAATATTCCTTTGCTGCCCCATCAAAGCCATTCACTTTTCCCCATGCCCAATATTGGCGGCTATCTTAGCATTTAATTGTCCCACAAAATCTAAAATTTCTTGTCTAGAGATATCTTAATCTTTTGAGGCCTCTTTGTTGTATATCATACACATCCTTAGGTTTATTTGCTGTCTGATATGCTAGCTCTGGAGTTTTTTGGTTGACAACCAGTATATGATGTATGGGAATAAGACCTGACATTTAGTTTGTTATGATATATGGAACTAAGGCCTGGCCTTTAGTTTATTATTATCAGCAACAGGGTTGTGTTTCCTCAACCAGCATCCACACATATGCATGCATGGATACTAAGCACTAGTGGCATTTGAAGATTATATGCTTATCAAGTTTTTACTTTTTTCATTTTATGCATTGAGTTGTATGCTTCAACATAAAGATTTCACACCCCTTTCTTGTCTGTTTTTACTCACACAAGGTAGCACAGACACTTCACCGAAGTCGTGTAATATCAGAGACATTGGATGCACGTCAAAAGAACGTGTCAGAAACATGTGTTGGGCATAACATTTTTTGTTTCCCATTTTCTTAAAATTTGGTGTTATGAGTTGATTCCATGTCTGTTTTCTATCTTCCTCCAAGTGAGATGGATCTCGACCAACCCTTAGTGATGTACCCCTAGTATGATATTCTTTTGAAGCTTATGCTTATGCAGTTTACCCTTTTGCATTTTGTTCATTGAATTGATGCTTTAGCATAAAGATTTTCATAATTCCCTGTATGTTTATGCTCACATTAGGTGGTCCATACACTTCATACCCGAAAGCATGTGTCGTATTAGACACGTGTCAAAAGCACGTGACAGAAACATGTCTTGGACATGAAACTTCAGATCCATGCATGCTTTTTAAAATTCAGTGTGTTGTGTTGTTTTCCATGCTTGCCTGCTCATCTGCTTCATTCTTCCTACAAGTGATATAGGATCTTGACCAATGTTTAAGAATTGTCGACGCTACTTGACTAGTAGAGGTCCCTTGCAGAAACCTGAGCATGCTTTTACTTTGATTGAATCTTCATCTTCGACAGATAAACCTGAAGGCTCAGAGATTATGATTAAAGGTACTCTTGCATGATATAATCTGTTGGATATAAGTTTTTAGCGACTATGAACTAGCTAATATCATAATCTCTGATGGAAACTTGAATATTTTACTCCTCTTAACCAAAAGAGTTCCCTAATATCTAGAACCTTTTCCTTCGGAATCAGCAGTCCATGAAGGAGATATAAGCCTAGGTGTATAATCATCCTGTCTCTTTTGGCAACCCATTCAACTTAACAGTGGAAAACAGTGCACATTTCCAAACTCATGCAACACGAAAAACCTGTAAAGATGGTTATTTTTCACATGGACTGAAGTAAATCCTCTTATATTCATCACTCTCTATGATAAAATACTTGCCCCATATGGACTCGATGAAGGCTATTGATGTATTTCAGTTAGAAGTTTGATGAAGATGCTCACATACTTATGTTATTTGTTACTTCCATCAGAATCTTATCGGACTAAAAACGCACTCTTTGCCAGGTGTTGAAACGGTTGAAGAAGGTCACTCCAGATTTGTATGGATACAAGGACTATTCTTCTTCTGCTCCTAAAAACAGTGATATTGGAGGAATTGCTCCAATATCCTCGAAAAAAATTAAGCAACATCAGCGGGATCCAAAGATTGGCAAGCATGAAGACTACATGCAAGTGAGATTAACAGAATCATACATCAAGGATAGTCGTCCTTCTTTTGCAACAAAGCGTCTCAAGGTTAAAGGCCCCTCCTTTTCTGATGATACTGTAGAGCAAGGCGGTTCTCGCTGTAGACATATTTATTCTCAGAGCAGGATTTGACTTATTGGTTCTAACCACAATTCTTAGCTGATCTCTAACTACAGATAGAAAAGGCATGACAAGGGGCTGCCATTTTAACTGTCAGTGAATATGGGACACATAAATTCTCACATAATTGATTCCTTGTGCAGACCTCAAATAGAGGTGATAGCACGACCCGATTCTATCAGCAAATTTGGTCATTTTATTCTATTTGGGCAGGGAACCTTGCTGTAAAATGTCGTGGATGTTGGTGGTTTGTCCAATTGTATATCACTGACACTAATCAATTCTTTTAGGTGGATTTTCAGGTCAGTCTGCTGCTAGTCTCCCAATTTTTTTCTTCTCTCTTATGTACATGTGGTCTTATACATTATACACGTACGTAGTCTTATACTTTGAACCATTTGTATATACTCTAATATGAATTTTTGTACCTGCGCATCCTGTTGTCCTGTTGTCCTTAAAAATCTGATACTTCTTCAGGCAGTCAGATTAATTAGAAAGCAAATCAGCATTTCTTGCTTTTCCTTACCCAATAGAGCTCTGAATAACCAATCGTTTGAAATACTTGATGTTTCTAAGCATTGTGTAGCAGATTGTCTAGAAGCTAGAACTATACTACCTATCTTCTATTAATTTTTCTCCTGTGCTCTCTTTTATTCATAAATGCCCATAAGAGCCTATCATTGCGTGCCACATAGAAACAGAATTGATTTGTCTAGCGGAACAATGCCTACATAGGAATTTCCTGCCCTCTGTTTCCTTATTCGATTAGTGAAGAGACCGTTTTATTTCCTTATTCGATTAGTGATTCACTTCAGATATGACTACTGGCATACTTGGTACTTCTCATGAGTTGTACTTATTCTTACTTATTATCGAAAGCAAGTCATAGTCATATACTGATATTAAATACTAATTATTGAAAAATTGCACCACTCCCCTTCTTACCTGCAGTAGAGGGTATCCAAACCCCTTCGAGAGTACATAGCTTGTTTGACTCTTTTTAAGGAGCTATCACCTTCTTTTACTAGAGAAAAAAAAAATAGCATATTCATAATAGCTGCATTTAAAGCATAAGGGAGCGTATCCACCTTATTCTGGCATTTTGTTTTGTTGAGCATAATATCCATCCACTTTAAAAAAAAAAAAAAAAGATTCTGATGCAAGTAAGATGATCACAATGCTTTTAAACTTGCTAGGATTAGAAAAGCGTTATATTACTAATAGTTAAGATTTGTTCATTCGCTTTCTTTTCTTTTGCAACAAAGGAACCTAGGATTCCTACAATTAAACAATAAACTAAGTCAAATACTCATTAGGAAAACCAGTGCTAGACTTGAAGAGACATCATATTCCCTCCACAACTCTTAAGGGTTCTTATGAAAAGGTCTAATATCTTTTCAATCCCATATCACTTGCGTTTCTTTTCATTTCTTTACTAGATTTGTAGAATACTAGTCAGAGATTAGGCTGTCATGTCCCCCATGACAAAGATAAAGGAGATTCAATTTGTCTTGGACCTTTTGCTCTCCATTAGCTTATCAAGGAGGCCACAAGCTACGCCTTAGGCAAATCGCATGCACTTATTCTAGCTTCTCCCAAATTCTCGTGTTATCATGATACTTTTAGTATGGTCAAATTTCTAATGATGTAGGTACTAAGAGAATTGAATTCAACTTTTGATGACAACTAAAAAAAAAAGAAGAATTAAGCTAGATATGCTTCTTTTGTATGTGAGTGGAACTTTGAGAGCTTGATGCACATTCCAATCACCTAGATTATAAGTTAGGTTGCCAATTAATGGTAAATTATATGATGATATTTATAGGCCTACCTTACCAAGAATCTAATCTGATATCAGCTTACCTTGCTCCCCCCAGATGCTTTCTCATGTATAATTGTCTAACGAGCTTGAACTTTAGTAATCTTGCAATTAACATACTTTAAGAAACCAAAATAAGAACGCTTGTTTCACGTGGTTAGGTTGAATCAAATCTAGCGGCAAAAAAACATTTTTGACCTAGCTATGGCTAAAAAGCCTGATTTTCTCCCCTTGGACGTATCATTTTAAATTGTTGTGCAAAAATTGGTTTATCATTTTTTTAAAAAAAAAATTTTACCTTTACCATTTGTCTAAGTTTAGCATTTTACATCCTTAAATTCTCTTCTTTAGGAATTCCTGTTGATGCACAGAATAAATTTAAGATAAACTTGGAGTAGTATAAGTTGATCCTGATTCCAGTCAGTAAAATGTTGGGTATGATTAGTCCTAGTCTGAAAATGCCTCGTCATCGAGGGCATGTGACTCAATTGCATGAGGAGCCTTCTCTATTTGCTATTATATATCCTTAGTCGATCTAATCTACCCTGACTTACGAAGAGGAAGGTCCAAAAACATAAAATAAACACACGCATGGATCATATTTTAGCCCTATCAAGAATTGGTTATAACAAATTAAGTTCATGATATGCCTCATGTCATGAATGAATGAATGTATAGTAGACATGACTATACTCTGATTTGATAGGAGACAAGGCATTTACGATCACAGAGCCCAATAATCTCTAGGTCCTCACAAGTACCTTCGTTTTTGGAAGCTTTAGAATCTTTAATTCACGTATCCCCCCATTTTGAGACATGATGTCTTCATTAACACTCGCTAACAAGTGTTCAAATAACTATTGATCAAGACAGAGAAACGCTAGTTGGACCATCGAATGAACGTGTGATGAAAAATATTAATCAAGACGAAAGTAACTCAACGGAGTAATTACGCTTCTAACCCTGGTCTCATAATAATAATAAATAGGAGCACATGCATGGTAACATTACAAATCATAGTTTTCAGCTTGATTTGATTTACCCAAGAATTTGGTGTGAGATTCCTGACATTCTAGGGAAGCAAAGCACATTAAATGGGCATGGAATTCCTCTGTACTGTCATATGCTCACCTTCCCTTTCTTAAATCACTTCCAAACACTATGCATCTTTTACCTAAAAACTACATCACCCACTCCCCCCATGAATTCAAGAGTTGACATTGATTGATGCCTTATAATAATCCCAGATCGATGGCACGAAAGACAATTCTTCGCTTGCTCATGATCTCTTGCATCAACACTTGGTAATCCGCCAACAGCACAAACATACACGATGGTTCAAGACTCCCAACGGAGCGTCATTAATCTTGTGGGAGAACTTGGGGGATATCTTTTTTAGACCCTTCTCAACCCCCGTGCTAATTTCATTGGTGTAATAAATCACCAAATGGAATCTAGAAAAAGAATATTAATGACAAGATATAGCTAGCTCTTGCTACTTGATTCATTTGTGCGGTTATTTTATTCCGATCTAGATATAGGTTGCTTTGACTGTTGGTTACTGAGACCTCATTACACAAGGTCTAGAAACATGATAGTAGAAAGGTGACACTTAAATCAAAGGAAACCCCTACCGACTAGTTAATGCATTAAAAGCTGTGGGTCTTCTCTCTATGAGCATTATATTATCTTTTGATCTGTTGGGTGATGCTCTTCTTGTTTACTTGTTCCATGCATGTGAGATGTGGACCTCTCTCTTAGTGTCTGTTTGGTTGTTTTCCTGAAAATCAAAAGTAAAAAGAAGGAGGTGAGGAAAGGACAAATTTTCAAAACCGTCCCATATGTACATTTAATCCCCAAAACAGACCCATTTCCATAATATTTTCAAAAACCGACCTGGTTTCAGCCTTGGCGCTGAAACCAGGTCGGTTTTTGTGAAAAAACTTCCGAAACTTCACGGGAGTTGAACTCCCGTGAAGTTTAGCAGTTTTACTAAACTTCACGGGAGTTTAACTCCCGTGAAGTTTCAGAAGTTTTTTCACAAAAATCGACCTAGTTTCAGCGCCAACACTGAAACCAGGTCTGTTTTTGAAAATATTGTCAAAATAGGTCTTTTTTGGAATTAAATGTGGAAAGAGGTCGTTTTTGAAAATTTGTCCGGTGAGGAAACCATCAAATAAATTTTCCTCCAATATCCTAAACAAAGCCCATGAAATGGGTGTCATAAAATATAGGCCACATCAACTAACAAGGAGTTTGCACATCACCATTTTTCTTGGTTTTAAGGTGCGAACCAAACAACGAAAATGAAAATGAAAATGTTATGAATAACTTACAACAATATGTAATTTTTCTCCATTTTCTTTCTTTTTTTAGTCATTTTCACAAATTTTGGGCGAACCAAATAGCCTCTAAGTGATGGAAAGGGAAATTGTTCATACGTGTATGATCACCTTGGAATAGAAGCATCTGCCTGCAATTTTCCCTGGTATTTTAAGGTCCTTGTCACATTAAATTACTCTAGGAGATGAATTTGCGGAATTAAAAAGGAAAATGTTTAGTTTAGTTGCAAATCTTGAATATTCAAAGAAACTGAAAGACAAATACAAGGGTGATTCTCTACGGCCATGTAATGTTTTTCCTCTCAAAATTTATCTCTAGAACAAATATACAAAAACCGTAAAGGGACCAATATTAAGACCAGAACATGGATAGATAACAATAACACAGTCTTTAATGAAGTTTCAAAGCAAATTCTCTACTGATCGTGGTTCTCTCATAATTTGCTTTTCTGTTCTCCATTTCTGGATAATAAAACGAGTCATATTTTATTGCCTGAGAAATTTAAAACTTGCTCTGAATCTCATTACATTTATCTGTTTTTGCATTGATATTTGTTAGTGTATTGATTTATGATATCCGCCCGTTTGCATTTCTCGTAACAGCTTAGCATCTTTTTTTGCCCCCGAAGCCATGACTACTGGAGACTGTAGCCTTAACGAGGGGGAAAAAATTGGTCCAAATTTGATTATTTCTTGGGCAAATGTGAAATAATATTTACTCCAGCTACTTAAAAGTTTTTGGGCATCGAGTTCGAATGCGAGTAGATGAGGAGTTTGTATAGAATGAATGAACTTGATTGCAGTAGGACATTGTCCCATGCGCTGGGCCAACTACCATGTAAGCTCAATGCTAAGTACCGAACGCATGCATTGGCAAATCATTTGCTCGTTAAAGTCATGTGATGGGGACCATTTTCTCCCATCTAGTTAGAACTTGCTCAAGAGCCTTAAATGTGCTACATTTCAACTGTGGTGGAAATGTCACAAGCTCAATGGGGAATTCATTGCACGGAGACGTATGAATGACAGTTCGGCTTATTGTTTTATACATTTGTAGACTCGAGGAACTAGACATTAGTGTACTCTCCTAATTTGAGGGAGGTTGAAGACTTTGGTTGTATAAGCAAGTAGATGCGACTCCGCTCCCTGTTTAATTAGCGCGTTCCTTATTTGGAACTGGACATTTTTTTAGAGCACGTTTGGCAACCCACTCATAACTAGAACATGTTCAATATT